TCTTTGATTTCATTGTTTTGACGAGCGCCTGATTTCAACACAATGCCTCACATATAGAAAATACTTAGTTTCTGGTGCATGGTACCAAAGAAAAAAAAGCACGCTTGTCTCCCTTTGGCCTTGAGGGACAGTTGGTTAAGGGACATAACTGGTAGTGACTTTTCTTTCGTGCATGTAAATACTCGATTACTTCCCTTACAATTGTGACCATGTCATCGTTTTCGTTTCTATAGAGGCCTATCACGTAATGTTCTGTACAGTGTAAGTTGGCACCGAATGGTAAAGCTTTTATTGTTTGTTTTAGTAGAGGTTTTGCGGTGCTCGCAACTGCATAAGGTCATATGAGCGCCAAGGGGTGGATGTCAACAGAGAAGTCCTTACACAGGGAATCAGACTTACTCTGCTCTTTTGGCGCTCATATGACCGTATGCAGTTGCGAGCGCCGTAAAACACTCTACTATTTTTTTAAAAATTACTCTGCTCACCTCTCTAGCTTCAACAGCACAAAGTTTTCTTCGACTTTGACTATCAAGACACCCCGGAAATAGCGGGTCACAATAAGAGTGTGACAAACATACAAAAGAAGTAGAGGGAAAATGACGATGATAGAAAGGATTAGGAAAGAAAAAGCAGTGCTCAGTTCCCTGTAGCAGTTCAGGCACAGTTATTAGCATGACATTGATGAATCAGCCCATTTACAATTATAATTCTACTGTGCATAAGAACTCGAGATGTTAATACCATGAGTTGGATTCCCATACGAAGAAAGAAGTACATCGACATAACAACCATTACTCAGCCCGATGAAAAAATAAGACAAACATTCAGAAACAATGAGGAAAAAATAAGACAGACGTATAGAAACAGTGAAGAAAAAATAAGACAGACGTATAGAAACAGTGAAGAAAAAATAAGACAGACAAACAGAAACAATGAGGAAAAAATAAGACAGACATTCAGAAACAGCGAGGAAAAAATAAAACAGACATATTAGAGAAACCGTAGAAGGAAAGGAAAGAAGAAGAATTTATCATTAGCACCCTCCAACCACCCGCCGACTCACAGTGCACTAAACAATTACAATTTGATTTGTAGTAAACATGCGTTATCCTGAAATATGTAATTTCGTGTTTTGTTTTGTTTCTACATATTATTTTTACATTCTAAAAAATCTTATGCCGACTTTTAGCTAGCAGAAATTTTTGGGCGATCTTTTTCCACTGGTTTTCTAAACCATTTATATGAAGGTTAGATCTGTCACTTATCAGATGTAATTGTTATTTTCTTTCACACCGATGGTAAGTATTATTGAAAACCAAGATAAACTTTCGAAGATTATATAATGAAATAACATTACAGTAGCAAAAGGGTCCTTAGCTCTTGTTATGATGGCATTAATTTATATAATAATTAACGACATCGATGCCCTAGATGGAACAAGAAGACGGATAAAGTTAGTAAGTAAGTCAGTGAGTAACAACAACAATGCTCGTTAGTTAATGAAGGATAAAGTAAGTAATTAACAGTCCTTGTTAGTTAATGGAAGGACATTTAGTTGAATAATTTTTAATTACCAGCGAATATAAGCCAGTGAGGTTCACAACACGGTCATAGCTACCTTCTTCTGTTGGTGGGTGTTTGGAATACGTGTCAGTTGTCACTCTCTCTCTCTGTCTCTCTCTTTCTCTCTCTCTCTCTCTCTC